TTTAAGAAAGGATTGATCTCTTTTTTGCAGTGCAACCTGGCTTATGTTACTCTTGTGTTGGCACAAAACTTTCAGGTCATTGCTATTTCCCTCTATTATAGTGAAACCCAAAAGTTTAGAAGCATGTTGAAAATATGTCATACTGCATTATTGTTTTCTGCCTGGTAGAGCAATATCATGTCTTTTTTTTTTTTTTTTTTAGATTCTGGGATGGTTAATCGGTATAAACTATTAGTATGTATGTTCTGATTTCACTCATCCATGAGTCATCTCATGCTGAATAATGTATCACATGCTGCAATCATGGGAAATGCGTGAGTGTCCTTTTCACTCATTGGTTAATCTAAATCTTGTTACGCACACACTTTGACCTTTTCACAGTCTTTTCATAATTTTTGAAATTGAATAATATTTTAATTTATGCGGGAAAGCAACAAGTTCGTTTTGCTTATTATTAAGTGTAAACAAACCAAGTCCTTGATCTTAAATCCTCAAGTTGTTGGTTGATGGATATCGACAGTCAAAGTGCTAGTGGTTAATATGTGTTATTCAATGTCAACTTTTGAAAGAGACGCATGTGGAACTTCTTAGAACAGTAACTTAAGCACTAGTTAGACGTGTGTTTACTTTCAGTGGGTAGTTTTCTCGTGCAAACACACAGTGCTATACCCTTATGGTAATTTGCTGACTCTTGAGGTTGAGACTTTGGCATGTTTTATAGGTATTAGCCATACTCATGCTCTCTGATTATGTTGGTGGGAGCAAAAGTTCAATTCTTGAGGATGCATTCAACCGGAATTTACTGGGTTCATTCCTCCTGGTACAGCACTGTGCTTTATGCGGAACTATGTTTGCTGAATCTTGATATCACCTAATGTTTATTTCTGCTTATGTGCAGGCAAACGTGCTAACGGGTGTGGTTAACTTGTTTTTCGAGACTCTGTTTGCGTCGCCACTCACATCCCTAGCCATCCTATTACTTTATGGCTACGTGCTGTCTGTGATCACCGGGGCTTTAGAATTTTACAGCATTAGGCTAAAGTTTTGGTAGAGGGAATGTTACCTTGATCCTCTTTATTTGTACGTTATAGCAGTGATTATTGACCATGTTAAGGTCTCATCTTTCGTGCACTCGGCACCAATACATCAGGAAAGTTCCACTGCTAGGAACATTAGTTCGTATTTCAATTATTAATCTAATATATCTAGTGTGAGGAACTAAACTAATCAAAATCTTTGTAAGTATGACTAAGGAATTGCAGAATGGATTGTTCTCTTCACACCGATCGAGATGAGAAGGGGGTAAACGAAAAGCCAAATCGCAGAGGTAAGCAATCCTTTTTTATCTCATGGTCCCGAGGCGAGACGGCAGGTATGTATTGGACACGCATCGCTGGTGCACACATGTATGAGCACATGCAGATGCATGCTAAACTAGAGCTTGCTAGTTGCCCTTGCCCATATGGCCAGTCACTCTGCCTGGCTTCTTTACAAAAGACAACACACAACTCATATTTCTAGGTCATGTACATGTCCGCAGGCTTGGTCTTTGTCGTCTGCATGCATAGATTCTCGTTTCTCTCTCACCCCCAACCCAAGTGTTGTTGCTTTTGGCGAGAAGCACCTTCCCTACACAGATGGGCAGACTCTTTTGAGCACCTTCGCGGCCTGTCCCCATCTTGTGGGGTGGGCTCTATGGATGCGTACTTTATTTTAATGGTGCCAGCGCCACATTTTACATTTCGGTGATCTCGAGATTCGGATAAGGATTGAGATTGAACCATTTAAGGATATGCTTATGTCCTGATTAGTTCTTTTGAATGCATAGAACGAGACTAGAGATTTTATCATATGATGCGCTGTGGAAGTAAAACGAGAGGGGGGGTTTGAAAATCGAAAGGGTGGGGGGGAGAGAGTGGAGTGAATGATTGCTACTGGTAAAAAAGTAGTTTTCTCGGTCTGAAGGTCAGAAGCTTTGGTGGTCACATGGATTTTGCCTGCAGGTCTCTGACAAGGTTGGACCATAATTGTCCAAACGAAGGTCGACCACCACCAACCAGCCCCACCAAGCCCAACGCCGGACGCCCGCGCACCCATTTTCATCAGTCCATCTTTTTGCCTCTAAATAATAAAAAGAATCGAAACCACAATAGAATAGGAAAAAAAAAGGGCTACAAGTCCCACTGTTCTTTAGCCTGCTCTCTCTCTCTCTCTGAGCGTACGGACATCATCGTTGACCCTGACTATGTGGTTCTGAATCTTCTGATGCGTGGACAAACGAAGCCGTAATTTTATTTTTGCTAGTGTACATAGAACCACGCGAGTCTTATCTTCTCTATCCGGTCCTATCTATCCGCTGAAAGTGAGGAGCACAAGAACCCTCTTTGCTAAAAGAGTAGATAAATGAGGGGAAGAAGAGGTGTGGTGTAAACCTTTGAAATCTGCCCGGTTTGTGACGTGTGCGGAGCTAAGTCAAAAGCTAGCGCGCGACCCGTGCAGAGACTACTGGCTTCGAGTGGAAATATTGTGAGTTTCTAAGGAAACCCTTTATATATCCAACGGGATTTTATGTTAGTTGCAGAGCTTTACTCCGGGGCATGAATGTGTGGTGGTCGACCTAGTCATTGTTCTAAAATTCTAAACGCAGAACATGAAGAGAGATGAGCATTTTACATTTCTAGTGAATCGTCGTATAAGAGAACAGTAGTGGCTACACTGTCGATGAAAATTACGGGCGATGATCGCTTGATATGCTTCACCACAAGTTATGCCCCAAATGTTTCGGCACATCCCGTGTGTACCTAGATAGATACTCGAGGTGCGTGTGAGCCTTTCTTAGTTATTTGAGAATTCTTCGAATCTCCTGTACTATCATGTTATTTATCTTACCATTGCCTGCTTCTATCTTGAAATTTGATAAATCATTGGATACCTAAATTACGTTCTCTTTTCATTACAATGTCATGATCAATGAGCCATACTAAAAAATCGGCGTTATGTTATTCTTATCTTTTTCGATTGCGGGTTTTTTTTTTTGGCTTAATGTAATCCTGTCTTTACCACTAATTATTCTTACTTGGATTATGAAAACTGCAATTTAGCCGATAAATGTTTGTCTTTCTCATAAGAAATGTGTAGATAAAAGGCAATCATGCCGGAAAATGAAGATCAAATGAAAGATACCAACCCTCGACCAGGGCAGCAAAGACTACGACGTCGATATTAGTTAGCAGTTGCCGGGCAACCATTCCAATAGAAAAGACAAAGTTACAACAATGTCACTCAAAAGGATCAAAGCATATCGAAAAACCACATTCGAAGCATTCAAGGCATTGCGACGCTCGCGCGCCAACCATGCCTAGAGAAACACGAATCTTGTCATTCCCTTCATTCATCATTGAACAGTCGCACGCGAGCATATCCAGATGGTTTGAACTCAAACTGGATTGTCACAATGCGCTTGCAACATCTATAGAGGCAAGAATTTTGGTGGCAATGACTACGAGAGCAAAATCTGCCAAATTCCAAGGGCTGATGAAAGGAGATCCCCCCTGAAGAACTTCGAAAGAATGATCTTTTTGGCACCATTTCGAATCTACTGTCTATAAAAATATCAGTGCTTACATTACCTTCCAACACCCAAAAAGAGTGGCCACACATGACCCTCCTCTCAGATGATGATGTCCATCCCGGAAATGCTTCAAGCAATGAATTCATTAGTACTTGCTTAGTACTACTGCTTCCCACCTTTATTATCCTTTGTAGCCAGACAGACATTGCGTATTGTTTTTCTGTTTTCTTTTGCGCCACCATACACTGCATCTCCACCGTTCATTTCCCAAAACAAAAGCATCATGCGTTGCATGCATGCATGGCTCGGGGCTCAGCTTCAGAGGATTATTCAAAACCCCACGCACCAGACAAGCTTTTCAACCCTGAAATGAAGAGTGTAGTTGTGTTGTGGATGATGCCAATGCGTGCATTTTCACCGCGGGGATGAGAGCGAATGTTTGAGGGTATAAGCTGGGGGAGGGCCCGTTCTTTTTTATCTTTTTTATCCCCCCTGTAAGCGAGGGCAAAACCCAACGGAAGAGAGGAGGGGATTTGAACTGTGAGGAGAGGAGTTGCTTTTTGTAAATAAATATATGGCTGCTCCTTCGTGTTGTTTGCATCCAATGCTTTGCCCATTGATAGATTTGGGTCCCCACCCTCTCTCTCTCTCTCTCTCTCTCTCTCTACATTGCAGAAAGTGTGGCAGAATTGGCAGTTTGTCTGTGAAATCGGGAAGGGAACCAAAACAAGGACGAGAGAGAGAGGGAGAGAGGGGGAGATGAGAAGGGTCTCTCTCTCTCTCTCTCTCTCTCTCTCTCTCTCTCTGATCTTTCTCTGTCTCTGTGTTTTTTAGTTTTAAAATCTTTTTCCTCCTTCGCCTTTTGGAAGCAGAAAAAGCACGACACCTTTTCACTGCTCCTCTCACGTGCACTCTTTCCCTTTTCTCTACTCTTTTCATTTACCATTTCCATCTCCATTTTTCCTGTGTGTCCTCCCTACGCTTGGATTCTCTTGTTCTCAACTAGTCCTGTCCTAAGTCGTGTGATCATACAGAAAGGAGACAAAGAAAAGCCTGGCCTGGCCACACACACCCTTCAATTCCTTCCTCCATGAACTTGCATAATGAAGAAACCTATTGGAACGCAACAAAGATGACTGTCGATCAACTCGAATGGTGAAATCAGTATGTCATGTTTCGTTCAGTCCACGTACTCCTAATAATGGGTACCGCCCGATTAATTCGGAATTTGGGATGACCCATATGATAATTTGACATAAGGGTTTTATAAGTCTCGGATGCAATGAAAAGATACAGTCTAGGCATGTACCTTATGATCCTTTTTTTTTCAGCAAATTCACTATCTCTTTAAAAGAAAAAAGAGGACTACTACGTGTCCTCAATATTTTTTTCTTCCGTAGGGCTAAGTATAAAAGCGCTGGCGTGCTCTATAGCATAGCCCTAAGCAAAAGCTAAAGCGGTGGTCTTTCCATAGTCTTCTTCACTCGTTTTATCCCAAGAAAAGAGAAACACACACCAAACTCAAAGCTCAAAGCTCAAACGAGGAAAATAAAAGGAAAAGATGGCGCTGGACGCTCTCTCGGCCAACGACCTCCTCAACTTCATCATCTACGACACCTTCTCCGCCACCCCCTACGGCTCCCACGACTCCTCCGACACCACCTTCTTCGACAGCCACCACCACCTCGCTCAGCAACCCCATCAAGAACAAGCTGCTGCTGCCGGTTCTTGCTCCCTGCAGGCCAACTCCAACAGCGGCTCTCCTCCACCGCCGCCGCCGGCGCCTCCTCCACCGCAGCAGAACCGGCGAGCGAGGTCCGGGGAGAGGAGGGCGGCCAGCCTGGGGGCGGCGGCGCAGGGGAGGAAGAAGCGGAAGAGGAGGGCGAGGGTGTCCAAGAACAAGGAGGAGGCGGAGACGCAGAGGATGACCCACATTGCCGTCGAGAGGAATCGCCGGAAGCAGATGAACGAGCACTTGGCCGTCCTCAGGGCCTTGATGCCCGAGTCCTATGTCCAAAGGGTTTGTTCTCCTTTCTCTAACTCTCTCTCGCTCTCTCTCTCCCTCAGGTGTTGTGTTCATTAAGTGCACTACACTGACATGGCTTTGTACATTCTCATTCTCATCCTCTCCTGATTTTTCATTATATGTGGAGAGATATAACAGCCTTTCACATTTAACAGACTCCATGCAGAATTTTTTGTGGAGGTGGCCATTAAATTACTATGCTTTCTTGCTTATTAGAAACTGCATTCTCCCAATAATATGGGGGAGGAAAAAAAAAGTGTCTTCATTAACTTCACAATATGCTTCCCCCACAGAATTATTGGTCACCAAGGAAATTGGGGTTCTTGAAATTCGTAGTGGGTGGTGAGTATCTATCTTCATGCTGCATTGTTCTGATAAAACAGTTCATCTTCAAGTTGACCCTCAAACTCTATCATCAGCTCGTACCTTCTGTCATGTGAAGGGGAAAAAACAGTGTGATGTGGGTTTCATCTGAAAATATTGGAAAGACAACATGCATGCTTCTCCTCTCCCAAATAAGTTGTTGGGAATTCCATATCTTTCGAAACTCGGTGTAAAGCATTCATGCCTTGGAGCAGCAATGTTTGGGCTTCAATTTAACTCCTCCGTCAGCTATTTTTCATTATCTCTAATCTAACATGTGGATGCTAAAAATTCCTATGTGAAGGGTGACCAAGCCTCCATAGTTGGTGGAGCCATTGAGTTCGTCAAGGAGCTAGAGCATCTCCTGCAGTCCCTTGAAGCCCAAAAGCTCCAACTTTCACAACACCAAGCAGGACAAGACATCACCAATGAAGAAGCGGACACGACCAACAACACCAACAATGATGGTCCCTCCAAAATCCTGCAACCCCCATTTTCACAGTTTTTCATGTACCCTCAATACACATGGTCTCAAGCCCCCAACAAGTACACAGCCTCCTCCACTTCAACCGCCAGAGCGGCCATCGCCGACATCGAGGTCACCCTCATCGAGACCCATGCGAGCCTCAGGATCCTCTCAAGGAGGAACCCTCGACAGCTCTCAAGGTTGATTGCGGGATTTCACACGCTCCACCTCAATATCCTCCACCTCAATGTAACCACATTGGACCCTCTCGTCCTCTACTCAATCAGTGCCAAGGTATTGTTGTTTGTCCTAAATCAGTCCTTGCTGTGTCCTGCACATATTTTTTTTCTCTCAACTGTGCCAATGATTTCTCCGTTCTTGATTCAAGTTGCATTATTAGACAGATTGAGTCCCAACTCGATGTGACCAAAAATTCAATGGCCGTCATTATGAGAACTATAGAATCATATGTTGTTGCAGACATTATTTAATATTTGGGGGCATCCTAGGAGCTGTAGCAGACATTATGAAATCTGGTCTAGTATTAATTGACACAAGAAGGAGAGAGAATGAACAGAGAAAAGTGCAGGTTCTTTACATGACTATGGTTTGTGTTCCATGTTTGGAAAAAAATGTCTGTGCTCATGGTTTTGGGAAAAAAGTTTGGATTTTTTGGGGATTATAACAAAAGGACTTGGATTAATGAGGATGCTTTGGTGCTTTGAACACACAGGTTGAAGAAGGGTGCCAGCTCACCTCAGTAGATGACATAGCAGGAGCTGTCCACCACATGCTCAGAATAATTGAGGAAGGCAGTGAAATTTGTTGATATTTTTACATTAGGCTGCCTGGATTGCCCTTTGGTTCCAGCTGAAATAACCAGGATCCCCACCCCTCTTTTCTTTTCCTTTCCTCTTTTTTCTTTTATGGGGTTCCTTTCTCTTGCAACTAGAGTTTCTCTCTGTTTATCTATATGTAACGAATGTATTAATTGGTTCTTTCATTTGTTTGGTTTCCTTGGGTACCACTTTATTTGGGCAGTCACCAGAAAAAGAAAGAAAGAAAAGAAAGCAGAAACCATGAAAGAGCTTGGACTGTTAATGTGGGATCTGCAATTCCTCAGCCCTAGCAATGCTAGAGCATCTGATTAAAGTAATGTGCATTGGCTGGACTGATTTGCTGAGTTTCCACAAATGTTCATGTAATTCGATAAATAGACATTACACACTACTCCATCTGAAAATATAATCTCTTTACTTTTTTCTTTTTCTTTTTGGCTTCTTTCTGACTACATTCAAGCGTTGCCCCTGCTTGAGAAGCAACTCTTGGATAGACAGCAATAAAAGGGGAACGTTACCTAAACTAATTCCAATAGACTAAGTAATTCATTTGAGTGAACTAAAACCAGACCTTTGGATTTGTTCAACCGCTCTTGATGTCCCATATATATATCGACATCGATATCAAGATTAACCTAACTTTAATCCGAGCTCGGACTTAGCGTAGGAGCCACTTTGTATGGTGAATGATTAGAGTAATTTCACGGTATGAGCGGTAATTTTCCCACCTACATCTGATGAATATAAGGAGTCACAGTTTGTTCACTACAAAAAAAAAATGGTTTCTTTACACCGCCAGACAAAATACTAAGTATCATTGTCCAAACCTATCTCAATCGCAATGTCTGGACCGCGTACAATTTTGACAACCTATATCTCAAACAAATTAAGCCCACCAAGCTGGCTCTAGGTATTAAGTGATCAATTGGAAGAAACATGTCACGTCTTATAGTACACAATAATGTTCATGGAACGTGACAATTTATAAGCTTATTACCTAATAACATGATATGCGGCAATGGCAATTGATGTAGGTCATATGTGTGATCTGTTGTGCCAAAAGAGGTACACTGGCAAATGTTTATGTGACCTAAATAAGCTGTATATAACTGAAAACGGGAACTTTTCAAGGAATTCTACCCATTTTAGGCAATTTTAACAAGCCTAATCTATTGCCAACTGAGCATTTATTTTTCGTGAATTTACGAGGTTTATACTCATAATTTCAACTTCTCTAGGTATTTTATTATGGTAATTTGGAAATTCCATTACACAGCTTATAACATCGGTTAACTAATTTTTGTAGATTAAGAATTGCGAAACAAATTTTTCCTACATCTGGATTGAAGAACATTGGTGGAGATCTTCCTTATCTTCATTTTCGGGTGATGGATCAACCTATACGAGTTCAATTGTTTTTATTGAAGTTTTCTTTTTCTCTTTTTTCTCCAATTTAGTCATTGCTTATTTCACTTCTTTGATGATTAGATCATATTTCATGAATCATATGTATTCAAACATAATGAAGGATACGTAAAATAGGTGACCACATCATGTCCGTGAGTTTGTTCGTAGAAAGTGCTTGAAAATTCGATAATTTTTCTTTTCCATTATTTTTACAGTCTTATGTTAATTTGGCTTTTGCTTAAAATGTTTTCCCTTATAGACCCAATGCCGGATGTCCTATGTATGTATTTTAAAAGTGTTCATATTTAACAAGTACATCTGAATTAATATCCAACTTTAGTTATTTAACTTTACATGTAGCATCGAAACATTATCTTTTGATATAAATTATTGGAATTATGCTACTTTCATCAACCAAATTTCCTCCCTGTCTCTTTCGCTGGCGTATGAAGAAGCATGTTTTTTGTTCCCACTATCAAGTACACGCACATTCCTGTGCTCGACCTTAAAATGGACGGCATCCTTCCAATTGGTCACCCTTTCTGTGGAGGATAAGATCCATCGCCAATGGCGATAACGAAGATGTGAACATGGTCGTCCCCTAAACTTTGCCCACATGATTTTGTCACCGAATGAGCCCAAAAGAATTTCACATGCTTCCCATTCTCTCGCCTAGGTTAAATGTCTTTCCATATATACGAAGATTAATGCCCGTGTAAGCGAGCGCTACAGATATCATGTCCATTCGACTCTGGTCGTCTGTTTTTTTTGTTTTTTTCTGCCGGGTTACCGTGTCTCGCGTGGGTTTCTAGATCCAGGCTCGATGCTAGGGAATGTACTTGCGTTCACGAAGCGTGCTGTGCATGGACTTTGAAAGATACCATCATCGTTCCACAAAGTTTTCTTCAAAAAAGCAATGGATCCATTGCAAGAACATGTGTGTCCCAATTGCACAGGGGAAAGTGGTGATGGTTTGTGGGATCGGGGGAGATGAAAAGATGTGGGGTTTTTCTTATGCAGGATCGATGCCTTATTTCTTATGCAGGGTTTCATAATTGGATATCAGTCTTCAGATTTGTTTCCATGCGTGATGGAAAATCCATATGCCCTCGCCGTTAAGGCTCGTGTCTTCTTGCCTACCACTAGGAGACATATGATGATAAAAACCCCATCCTCATTCTCGTTCTCATTCTCTCTCTCTCTCTCTCTCTCTCTCTCTAGAGGGAGTGATTGTGCCTTGATTGGACAAAAAAATTCTTGTTTGACGAGGACTAAACATAGAACCATGGAGGAGAAACCGGGGAGTTAATGATGATGTTTGGATATTTTGCAAAAAGGTTAGACAATCCATGCAAGTACATTCGCCTATACATTCCCAAGAAGCAACACTCTACTTAATGTCCCATCATAATTCATACTTTGTCTTGTAACGATTGGCATGTAGTGGATGGTTTTGGAGTGCATATAGGAGTGCATATCTTTGTCGGGAGATTACAGCAAAATTTGAAAATTAAAAACTCTCGCGACGAAAAGCCCGTGGTGGCATATTCCTTACGTTTCAATTGATGATATCGACCGTACCATCCAGCGAGACGAAACATACAAAAGAGCATGTCGAATAGAAGAGTGACATACACGAGGTAGCCGATATGGAAATAAGCTCGGCGTTTTCGATCGTGGACTCGACTATTCTCGGATTTCTTTCTGACATATTTGATTTTCGAAAGCTTTGTGTTTTTTTTTCCACCCTATATGAACTTATGGTGATTTGGTGTGCAGCAGTAGTAGGGAAACTCTTTGATATAAGTATTGGGTTTGGGCCCATCTTTTGATTCTTTTATGGACGGGGCTTGGATAATTTCAAGCTCAGCCCGTTCAACTGGATGCTGGACCTAGAAAATTTAATACGCCTTATAAAGCATGCTCCTTTCAGCTGAAATAGCATATATTTCTTGCAATGATCAACCTTACAATTGGCTGCTGGATTCCTTCACTAGTCAACTGTAGCTCGATGCTCATGACAGTGTAGTGCCATGACAGCCATGGCATTCATACTTTCGTAGGCATATATATATATAACCATCTCGCTAATGGAGCTAAGAAATTACGCACCAAACTGATGATGCAGCAGCAATCACTCTCCGCACGAACAAAATGCGCTAAATTCAGCTTCTGCGTTGTCCCACTTGCATTTATTTTAGACAGGAATCGTAGCATTCCTCAGCCTTCCGTGCCGAGAGAGGAAGGAAATCCTCCCACTTGAAAACGATCTCTTCAACGCTGCCGGACTCACTCCAGATACACAGTGCAAGTGCAAGAGCCTTCTCTTAATATCAGCCTTTGGTACTTCTTCCCCTAGTGAATGCTTCACTGGTCCTGCTTCTGCATTTCCTGTGCACTCGTCCGCTCCGATGACTAGCCGCTCTTGTCCGTTTGCCTGAAGCGATATAGCGGCGATCGAAACACAGGTTTGACACGAGTGATCCATGGAAAAAGATCTCCTGACTTGTTGCAACTGTGAGCTTCCTTCCCTCACCTCAATTACGGTATGCGTGCGTTCAGGGTTCCCCAAATCGCTAAAAATCGGCAACGGGATCTTAGGACTGTTACTCATTTGTGCCGTCTTGTGGGCTGAGCCTGAATCTTGTGCGGCCGGTGAATTATCATCTTGGCTTTCCTCCTGGTGGATCTCTGGGAAGGATTCATTTCCTGATGAGCTTCCATCGGTCGCAAGAGCAGGCGTCGGAGCCAGTGAAGCACTAGGAGCGAAAAAAGCGACATCGGAGCGGCACAACGGGCAGTTCGAATGGGACTTCAGCCACGTGTCGATGCACGGGACATGGAAGCCATGAGTGCACTTGGGCAAGAGCCTAATGCTCTCATCCTCCTGGAACTCACCGAGGCACACTGAGCAGGTCCCTTCTATTAGCCCACCATCGTCCTTCTTGTACCTGCACAACGCGATCGACTTGATCAGGGCCTCATCCAATCCCCCCGTCGCGACCTGCCATGGCTCTTGGTCCGGCGGGTGGCTGTTTTCTTCGAGTTGCACATCCAGGTCATAGATTTCTCTTCTTCTCGAGCTGGTGCTGCCACAGCACTTGGAGATGAGGGTATAGTAACTCACTAGGAGGAAAGCGCTGGCCAAAATTCCAATGATTGCTATGACGAGTGGGGAAAAAGTTGGGCCTGCATTGTCATCATCTGAGTATGGAAAAGTTGGTGGAGGAGGCAAAGCAACATAGCACCACTGAGGACAGTAAAAGCTGCAGAGACCTTGTGAGCAATCTTTAGTGGTCAAGTATGGAATCCAAGTTTTGGGGTATCCTGGAGACTCCATAATTTGATCATAAGTAGAGTGACTGGGAGACTCTAGGAAATTCTCCTCCACTTTTTGGACAAGCTAGAGAAGAAAACCTTTAAACTGTTTCAGAAGATGCTATTAAATTGAGACAGTCCTCACATGGTCTTTACATCAACTAACCAGAAAGAAGCAAAGAATACCTGGAAGGCTTGTGGCTTGTGGCTCGTGGGTCATTCCACTGGCTCTGAGTCTGAGCAGGGAGTGATTTAACTGTCAAATTTGTGTTAATGGGCAAATTCTCAGAGACAAAGGTAGACATTTGAGGATTGAGGCAAAACTGAAAAGCAGCTGAGTTGGAACAGCCTAGGAAAGAGGAAGGTGTGGGGTTATATTCTCTTCCTCTCCTTTCTTTTGCTTTTGTGCTCTCTTCTTTTTCTTTTGGCTCCCATCTCTCCTTTTTTGCCCCATTCAATTGCTTCTTTTTTCTTTCCCAGGGGATGCTGGTTTGTTGACTATGGTTGGAGTCCATTGAAAGTAAGGAATGCTTTCATTGTTGTTGTCCAAGGCCAATGTAGTTGCAGCTGGGTGTGAGTATATGGCATGACTCCATCAGAGACATTGAAATCTTTTTCCTCTTTTATTCTCCCCTGGATAAGCTTTGAGTACTTTGCAAATCAAAAGAAAAAAGAAAGGTGGGAGGAGCTGAAAATTGTGAGAGAACAAGAGTTGTATAATGCCACTATGGTGCCAAAACTCACAAGTGAGAGGATCGCGCTGGAGATCTTCACCCGCAGCATCTGATTCTCTCTAGTGTTAGGCAACTTGTGTTAAAGATTTCAAAGGTTCTTTCCATCAACATATCGAATTTCTTTGATCTAGACAATGTTTATCTTTCTGCACATGCTGCAAAGGCCCTCTTGACCATTCTGCTTACGCCAACAACATGTGGATAGGCCATGTCATCGACGATAACCAGTGATAACCTGGCATTGAAAATGCATCGCCCCTTCTTAGTATCTATCTTTAAGTTTGAATTCCACGACTTTCATAGGTGACACATTCACTAGCTCTGGTATCGTGAAAGGGGCTACGTTCAAAACAAGAATTTAGCAAATACAAGAATTCAATCCTCTCGCGGTGCCTTTCATGAGCTTTACACTGTCGGGACCGACTTTTAGCATCTAGTTAAATCCACATTCCGAACATAAGGCTTACTGGCCTCACTTTCTAATGCACAAGATCCTTATAGAGGCGAGTATAGAGCATATTGCCAGGATAATATATTATCTTGTAATTGTAAGATCTCTAATACCAGATATAAATTTGAAGAGAATAAGAGAGATATTAACTTTATATAGGTTTAGAATTGTTTTGGTAATTTTCCCTTAAAGGGGCTATGTTCAAAACAATAGTTTAGCAAATAAAAGTATTTAGTCCTCTCGCGGTGCCTTTCATAGGCTTTACACTGTCGGGACCGACTTTTAGCATCCAGTTAAATCCACATTCTAAACATAAGGCCTACTGGCCTCACTTTCTAATGCACAAGATCCTCATATAAGCGAGTGCAAAGCATATTGCCAGGATAATATATTATCTTGCCATTGTAAGATCTGTAATACCAAACATAAATTTGAAGAGAATAAGAGATAATTAACTTTTAATTGTTTAAGCACACAAACACGCGATTTTATTGCTGAAGGCTAGCCTGTCTCAACATATTACAAACTATGCCTTTTATAGGCATAAGGGTAAGGAAAGGCAAGCAATGTTACGTAGGCATATTAACGTCTAATAACAACATATGGTTTCACACTATGACACCTATGACTTAAAAATATTACAACACCATGACTCATCTTAAAACATTTATTACAATACCATGACTTATCCTAAAAACATTTATTACAACATGACTCATCTTAAATATTTATGACAGCACGACTCATCAACGTGACATTTATGACAACACGACTTATTTCAAATACCATTATAACAAATCATTAATACACTTTCTATTTATCGTTTAATGATAAAAGGGATGGGTATCTTATCACTACATGGTTTCACTCAATCCTCTGAAACCAATTTTATTTACTCGTAAATTTCTTAACAGCATCGAGTTCCATTTGCTTTTTTTCGTCCCTTTTTTCTCTCCTTTTTCTATAAGCACGGAACCTCCCCCCTTCCCCAACGAAATAAACCAAAACATAAACCTAAATAACGTCCTTGTCCCCCTGCAAATCAGTGGGCCCAATCGTCGCCTTAGGACATGTAATAATCCACTTTGTCACCAAATTACTTGTGGAGGCAGGGTTTCTAACAAAATCAATTGTCGCAGGAAGAGCCTGTACCTGGCAAAGTTTCTTTGCCATCACACCAGCAACACATTGAATCAGAGGCTTCATGTCAGCCCTCAACTTCAAGAATTTCCTCCCAGCACATGAGGAAGAAGCAGATGAAGTTATCTGCCAGAAACTTCTGTGCTTCAGCATATGTGCTTTGATCCAGGCAAATCCATAGAGAGCCAGCTCTCACGAGCAACATCCATGTTAGCTTCCTGATAATAGCTTTATTCCATTGATAAATTTGTTTGAGGCGCCCAAACCCACCCTCCTAAAGAATGCTTATAATCTGGCATACGTCTGTAAGTATGCTAAATAAGCAGCTTGTATTTAAATCTTGAAATCGAATCAGCTAAGCAGAAGCCAAATATCCGCATTTTATTTAAGGCCATACATTTTATTAGAGTCATTCTAGCTCTAGCACCATGTATTATGCGTATGTTCCGTTGAAAATGAACTCAAGCGAGAATGTGCATCAAAAGAAGGGGGGAAAATTACCAAAAAAGTCCTAAACCTTTTGCAATTGTGCCAATTCAGTCCTAAACCTTTTTTTTTTTATCAATTGCAGTCCTAAACCTTTTGCAATTGTACCATCAGTTCTGATCCGGCCACTTTTGCCGGCCACTGACGTGGCAACTTTTTTTAATAATTTTTTATTATTTTTCAATTTTTTTTTATTTTTTCTCTTTCTTTTTTTTTTCTGGCCTATCTTCTTCCCCGGTCGCCGGTCCGGCGACCGACGAGAGGCTGAGGCCGGCGAGGTGGACCTCGCCGGCCATGGGCGAGGTCCACCTCGCCATGGCCGGCGAGGGCCGACCTCGCCGTCGCCGGCGAGGTCGACCTCGCCATGGCCGGGCGAGGTCGACCTCGCCATGGCCGGGCGAGGTCGACCTCGCCCGGCGACGGCGAGGCCTCGCCAGATCTAGGCGAGGTCGAACTTGCCGGATCCGGGCGAGGCCTCGCCGTCGCCGGCGAGCCGCCCGGATCGGCGAGACCTCGCCGTCGCCATGGCCTGGCGAGCTCGACCTCGCCCGGCCATGGCGACGGTGAGGTCTCGCCAGATCTGGGCGGCCTCGCCGTCGCCGGGCGAGGTCGAGCCTCGCCTAGATATGGCGAGGTGGACCTCGCCGGCCTCAGCCTCTCGCCGGTCGCCGGACCGGCGACCGGGGAAGAAGATATGCCAGAAAAAAAAAGAAAGAAAAAATAATAAAAAAATTCGAAAAATAATAAAAAAATTGCCACGTCAGCCGGCCGGCGTCCACGTCAGCGCCGGCCAGCCAAAAGTGGCCGGATGGACTGAATTGGCATAATTGTAAAAGGTTTATGACTGAATTGACAAAAAAAAAAGATTTAGGACTGAATTGGCACAATTACAAAAGGTTTAGAACTTTTTTGGTAATTTTCTCAAAGAAGGGATATCATGATTCATGGAGAGCAATTTCCTGTCCTTTCGTTGAATTACCACTTATATTGATCGTGGAGTTTATATTATCTTTATATAAATATGACCTCTTTCAATATATTAGTTTAAGCTTTTAGCTTCATTTTGTAACATTGTATTAGAATCAGATTCTGCACAACTAATTTCGTGCGCGCGTCTTTCTCCACTATTTCGTTTCCTTGTTGATTAAGGACTGAACCTGGATTTGATGCATAAAGCCATGGGTTCACTTATCTTCATATAATTAAATTCTTACTTTTAGTTTCCATTTATTTTTATTTTTTCATTTAAATCTTTTCACGTCTCTCTATACACGGTATTCCTTTTTCAAAAGGCTGTCCTAAAGTGATTTGACGTATGGAAGCAACCCAACAATCAACATGAAACACATATATACAAACAATATCATTTCATCATGACTTTACTTAGCTGTTCCATGCATCCAAGGTAAGGATTCCCACAGAGCAAGTGCGGTGGACAGCTAAAAAGCTCAATCTTGTATCCAAATTTCAACATCTCTCTCCATCACTGTACCATACCTTCTACTCTTATCAATCTCCATGACAAATCTGCCTTGGCATCCTAAATTTTAAGCCCTAAATCCCTTCTTGGCGTGCGTAGTTTTCTTGAAACGAAATAATTATGGCGCTAAGCAACAACGTGATCGGGGCGATAAACTTCGTGGCGGTCCTCCTATCGATCCCGGTCATCGGGGCGGGGATCTGGTTGGCCACGCAGGCCGACAACTCATGCGTGAAAATCTTGCAATGGCCGGTCATCATCATCGGGGTCCTGATCCTCGTGGTGGCGCTCGCCGGCTTCATCGGGGGGATCTGGAGGATCCAGTGGCTCCTGATATTCTACCTCGTGGCGATGCTGGTCATGATAGTGCTGCTCACTTGCCTGGTGGTGTTCGTGTACATGGTGACGGTGCGAGGCCACGGCCACCCGGAGCCGAGCAGGGCCTACCTGGAGTACGATTTGAACGACTACTCTAGTTGGCTAAGGAGGCGGGTCAAGAGCTCATACAAGTGGGATAACATTAGGAGCTGCCTTAGCTCCACCAGCATGTGCCCCGAGTTGAACCAGAGCTATAGGATGGCTCAGGATTTCTTTAATGCCAGGATCAATCCGTTACAGGTAATTTTAGCCATGTAAAAATCTGTCCTCATTCTTCCGAAAATGATGTTTCCACTCAAGTTGGCTTGTGAGAAATGCTTCAATGGTCGTGACTTTGTTGCGACCTTGTTTCTAACCAAAGAACAAGAACACCACTTTGCGTATAAACCTTCCAAAACAACTCTTTTCCATTATTCTTACTCCAAAGTATACAGTGCACAGACCACCTCCTTCCCGATCTTCTGAATGCTGATACATGAGTTAAGATGGGGAATAGCGATAAGCATATCAAGACCGATTTACAAATTTGTATGTTGCACGCTAAGCACGACGCATTTGCTTAGGCAACATCGATTAAGGTTTTCTTCCTAGGGTTTTCTTGAGCCAGGTCGTTCTTGATTAGTTAATTCCTAGAGCTTAACAAGCATCTTAGGCTAGGGTGGTTCTTGAAGAACGATGAACGGAAAAAACAAGAGAGACAAAAAGTAAAGCGAAACTGAGTTTAAAGGTTCTCGAGCCATGTGCTATTATCTTCATTTTCCAAATATTCCTCGAGTTTACCGTCAGTTTGTTCTTTTTCGGCTCTTTTATCTTTCAAATCTTTATCCTTTTTTCTTTCTTATCAAACAGTCGGGATGTTGCAAGCCACCGACGGAGTGCGGGTACACCTTCATAAACCCGACGTACTGGATCAGCCCGATCAACACGGCCGCCGACATGGACTGCCTGAACTGGAGCAACGACCAGAACCAGCTCTGCTACAATTGCAACTCGTGCAAAGCTGGGTTGCTCGCCAATATGAAGAAAGAATGGAGGAGAGCCGACATCGTCTTGCTCATAACTCTCGTGGCATTGATCTGGGTCTATCTGATCGGGTGCTGTGCCTTTAGGAACGCCAAGACCGAGGACCTCTTTCGCAGGTACAAGCAAGGTTACACTTAGTATGTGTAAGAGAGAGAGAGAGGGTGATGGTGGAGTTTTCTGAGGACTGGAGATTGGTGAGAAATGGGTTAGGTTTGGATTGAATTGGAGGGTTTCTTAGTTTGTGAGACTTTTTTTCTTGTTTATTCATCATGGCTTTCAATATGTGAGATCCCACTTTCTTGTTCATATTTGTTCCAAAATTATGTCTTGGGATGAAAAGTTATGGTACAATCTCGAGTGTCGAAGATATAATTTAAAATCGTTGACTATGAACCATGTGAAAAGTTGTTATTTCTCAAGAAGGAATAGTATAGGCCAACGACAATGCTATATCGCATGCATCTTCTCGTTTTATAAGATATAGCCAAACAATCTTCAAGGTCATATGAAAATATCTACTTTTGTAAAATGAACAATATTTAAGAGGTCCCTTTGGATGCTTATTAAGTCCTATCAATCGTGGCTTTGATATGTACAATTTACCATGCTTTTGGTTAAACTTGAGTAGTTGTCAAAACCCCTTGTGCACACATGAAGTTTTAGGGAATGGGGTCAGTATGCTTTGAGACTCGAGCTTGAAAGGAAGAGGTCACAGGAGCTGCACGAGATTTGCGGAGAGCACCGAAAGCTGATCACTTTGTTGACCATTACGACGAGTGCTATTATTGTACCCAGCGACATGAATGCCCACCTCGATAACGATGAATGGGATTCAAACTTGAAAGAGGAGGGGAAAAAACACAAAGGACAGGAAAACCTTTTGCACTCGAATGGCGTCAAGTACGCAGTACGACGTCACGTGTTCAGAAGACTGTATTTAAGGAATCGTATAATCTGTTTTTTTAAAGATAAATGGCATGCGGTAACATCGATTTAACACAACCCCATATGATTTCCTTTGTTGTTTGTTCCAATCACGTGAGGAGTCGTCGAGGAAGACGAAACTATGTGAAGAGAAATGTTATCTTACTTTCATCGAGCTTGTTTGGTTTCGGTTAACATATCCTTTTCTTTGCTCTTTAATTTATTTTTGATGATCGCAAAAGTGCTAAACGACACGCATGTATTTCTTGGTAGCAAGTTTGATGAGTGTAGTATCGCGCTATATCTTAAAAAACCTCTTTTTAATACTTCTGCTCTACGAAAGGTATCTCGAGTGCACGAGAGTTGCAGCTAAATGGTCACGATCAGCTTTGCCATTATTCGCCTTTTTGTCAATGGCTGGATTGATTCTGTCCCTCGTCGAGATAGCGCGCTACTTTAAATGATGGGACAGAAGGAATCGGTAAGCAATGAAGTAAGCTTTGGTTTCGGCATGCAAGCTTTATCGAAGTCAAAATCAAGGTTCAAGTTTAGATTTTATTGAAAGCTATCAGCAGTTGAGTTTATAAGGAAAGATCATCTTCAATGGAGTTGTAGCTTTCTGAGGCCTTGAGCCGGCCCAGAAGAGTGAAGCAGATAGAGTCCGTCCTCTGGGGATCACGGCGGCAAATGATCATGGGCCTCCATTGCAACTCCAAGAACCACATCTTTTTCCCAAGGTTTAACCCAAAGGTCACAATATGGTAAGAGATTACCATGTTACTCAATGCTTATATTATACGACGAGCTGCGCCGACGTTCCACGGAATTTAAACATCCTTCAAAACTAGGATACGAGGTCGGATGAGAGATATCGCGTTGGCATATCAAGTGATCGCTTATGGACCATCTCCTCCCTCGATCGTCCAACCTTCTACTTTTCCTGATTTGAAAAGCAAATGAAGTTGGCATTTCCTAAAGTTTTCGTGGTACGGCATTTTGGCGTCCCAAATATCGAATGCTAGCTTCAATACCAGTAGTGACATAACTCATCTTATTCCCTGCGAAATTCTCGTGCAATAATACAACATCGACTATGTACAGCTAGATTTTAAGGTGCTTGTTTCATTGGGGACCCAGGTTCTTAACGGCCGACTCGGGACAAGAAACAACGAAATTACCACATAATTAGGGTCCATTTTGGACCCTGACCTTCGATACATCAAACGAGTTGTATTGGGTAGGTCCGCCGAACAATTCAAGTAGGCAGAAAATTGCACATATCGACATAGGGGCTACACAGCAATAATCGAACCGGGTCAATGGGACAAAACGAGAACAATTAGGTGACGAAAGTAGAAATAGAGAAGCTTGTCCTTTCCTCTTTTTCTCATTTGGAGCTTTTCACAAACATCATATGGGGGCAGTCAAGTCCACATTGAGAGACAGGTCCCCCCAACTTGTGCCGAGAGTATCCTTCATCATTCAGCCTCAAGCTATAATGGCGAAAAGGCGGTGGTGGGATTGCACCGAGCCAACCAGTGAGATTGGTAGGGAAGTGTTTGCATCATCATCACTTTTGTATTATATATGACGAAGCAAAGCAAGAGAAAAGGAAAAGGAAAAGAGGAAAAAGCCACTTTAGGGTTTCTTAGCATATTCAATGGGGGGTGATGGTAGTTGTTCTTATCTGAGTTTCATGATTTAAATTTTCTCTTTTCTTGATTGATTGATTGGTTCCAAATGGGGCCCCAACACACGACCAAAAGCATGAGATGCTGTTGATCCCAAACTTAGCAAGTTGGACAACCAAACCTCAGAACATTGCCTCCTAATCTCATGCTTATAATTGATTTCGATGGCTGGATGGTGGACTTGTCGTGTGGGATCAGCAGTTGCTTGGATTATTTATATCTCCCATCCATCAGGATTTTCTTTTTCGGCGAGAAAATCCAACTTGAATTAGAAAACTTCGAGTCGATGAAATAGCTCCCCACCTGGTACCCGATAACCTCATGAATCAGACAATGCGCAAGTTGGAGTTGCGATTATATCTTGTCTCGGCGAACGATCGATTTTTCAACCTATCTCTAAGTCGAAAGGTTGTATTTATACCCCGTATCCCGACAGAGCGGAAAACACGGGTTTTTCGAGGAATCGATATCTTGGAGAAGTTATTCATGTCGAATTAGTTCCATTCCTTTAAACCAACGGATCCTAATCAGTGAATGGTCGAGAGGAACAGGTAATCTCTGCAACATATCTTCAGAAGAAGCATTCAGAGGCGTTCGGCTGCAATCTGCCGAAGTTTTGCTGCATGAGAGTTCTTGTGTTAACGTATTCTTCGCTAAGTATTGTCAAAACATGAATGACCTAATGCTCAAAATCAAAGCCTCTAGCTGGAACTCTGCGTGTGGGCCGCGTGTATTATTGTAATAGCAGATTAGGTAAATGTTGGTGACCTGACACAACATCGTCAGCCAATCAGATCGAACCAAGATGGATACTGAATTCGTGAATATTATAAAGTGAGAGTTTCTTGCTCTATAATAGAACCCCCAAAAGAGACTTGGTAAACGATGCATGTAATGGTCGGTCCATCTATTCCGTGTTGGAAAGCCTCCGTGTTTTTACACTGCAATCGAGACAAAATGCTGCTATAGAGCAAAACCCAGACGCTCTATGGGGATTAGTGACCGAGTTTGCAACATGCCATGACGAGGGAGGGGATAGCTAGATGTGATTCATCTTATTCTTTTTTTCTATATCGATGGAGGCTTTCGATACATCGGTTGACAATTGGCTGATCTCCCACCGTGAGCGATTATGCCGGTACTTACACCTCGACTACACCAGATATTACGGTGCGGCGTATAATGCAATGATTCTTGAAGTGAGCTATACAGTGCCCGACGTCAGTGAGATTGGTGTAGGCGTAGAATACGATTAGTAATGATCTTGAGATAAAAATAAAAAAAAACAATATGGGCAAATGAAGAATATTTCTGTATATATTTCAAGCACTTCCCTTAGCACGCTCTAAGATAGAATTTAAAGCATCGTCACGCGACTTCACAAGCATCCACTAGCCAACTCTTTTAGGGGTCATATATCAAATGATCAAGCCTAAACTCAATTTACTGGCCCACAAACCAAAAAAAGATAAAAAGAACGAAATTCACACTGTATCAAACCTAAAAGATATTTACCTTGTCGGGTGTCTTTTAATGCCAAGATCGAGGGAATGCATTTCTAGTGAAAAACGATCTCTTCATCGGCCTAAGGTGTCGTTTCATCGTCTTTTGAAATCCAACAGATCTTTACACATCAATAGTAAAATCGTCGTCATGATGATTATCTACATTCAATTCTCTTGAATCTATATATTTCCCCCGTTCTCTTTGGACTATACCCTGTTTTTAACCTTTCGCTAGGGACAATTTTCAGTCGGACGTGCGATCGCACCCAATTGGGACGGACGAGAACACGTCGCGAAGAAGACCCGTGCGTCGCCAACTCTCTCTTACAAAACTCGGGACGAAAGGGCGACTCATCATCCCATTCGCCGTGTCGTTTTTGAACACGTCGTTGGGGAGGTGGGTGGGCCCACCAGCCACCTGCAAATTCGCCGTCGTTTCTGGGACACGGCGATTGCGACGGATCCCCGAACACTACTTCATCATGTCTGCTCGTCCATTTTCCTTCTCCCGTTCTCGAGGATGTCTTCGCTTTTAATGGGCTTTTCTCACTGACCACCTTTACCTTATCCCGAAAGTTTAGGGGAAGGAACATGCCATTCATCACGAGGAGCAAGCAACCACTTCAATTATTACATAGAATATTGGAAAAAAATGGCGGATCCTTTTTTTTTATCTGAAGTATGACGGCGACTCGTGCCTCATCGATGTAATTCTCCGAGACGCTTATTAATGATATTCGATTTGGAGCATCGTATTGTTCGAGACCGAATAGTTTGTGCATTGGAACATCGTATTCTGACTAAGAATACTTCAGAGCGGTCGTGAACAAGATTACGATCATGTGGGTTTGGAGAAAAGCGACCAATAGATAGGTGAACTCTGGTTCGAGAGGCAACTCGGCTCCTCTGTTCACGACGAGTTCGACTTCTCCTTTACGGGTCGAAGAAATTAGTTTAGCTACATTTTGCCACTTACGTACTCTCTAATGACAAGATCTCGTGGCGTAAGCACCGGAGATCCCAAGCGGGGAAATTCCAAGGTCTTGGAATCGGAACCCATTTAGGGACAACAAGGAATCTCACGTTAGTTTTCGAAAAGTCCAGTCTCGAAGTCAAGGGATTGTGATCACACTGTCAGTTACCGAAGGGCATCGAACGCGAGCTAATTATCAGGTTCATATCGACTAAGAAAGAGTAGCGACTTGCCGATTTAGTAAGTCCGATCTCATCTAACAGTCCATGTGAAGCGGGCTCTCGTGCACCCGCCGCTAAAGCACCCCCCAAGTTTTCTACCGGTCCCCCCCGCACACCTTTCGCCTAGAAAGGGCGTGCGACCCTTGCTCCCTAAGGAATGTCTCGACGTGGCACATTGATTTCACCGCCTACCGACACGTGGCGATGCGGTGTACGGTCCCCAGCCCCCCGGTGCCCTGGGATCCCCACCCACACGTGGCGGTTCACGGCCCCCGTGTTCTTTGCCCCCCCATCCCGAGAGAAGTAGATGGAGACAGGGAGGAGGCCACGTGTCGCTCCGGTCGCTTTCTTCGGACCAGCGGCCCAGATGCCCCTTACCGGAAATACCGGTAAAAACAGCCCCTCAACCCCCCCCCCCCCTCCGCACGTGTGCGGGCGGGTCCGTTCGATTCCGTCCAGGTTTCGCACGTGGCGGCTTCGTCCCGAAGGAAATTTTCTTTGCAATTATGACTTTGATTAAATCTTATGAGCATTGACAATCATAGCGCACTAATTGGAAAAAGAAGAAGAAGAAGAGAGATTGGAGGAAATTTCCTCCAATTTTTAGACCGAGGATTTGGTTCAGATTTCAAGTTGACCGTATCGTCCTTCGTTTTTCGACGGAAAAAAACTTCCTCTAATCAATTTCCAGTAGTCTTTCATTTCGTGTCTCTATCGTTAAAGCGAGAAGCACCATTTCCTTACTTTTCACTCTTTCCGAAACGATCCCTGAATAAAGATACCCCTCTTTACAGATTTTATTCACCGCCCGCTGTCCTTAGCAGATGAAATAATCGCTAATCATAGAATTGGTCGGAGAAGAATTCCCCTCCAACCTAAAGGAAAAGGAAAAGCGCGATCGTTTTCACTTTTTTACACTGTTAAACCGGGGAACTTTAAATACGGGCTTCAAATATCGAAGTTTTCGGTACTTCTACGTCAAGTTAGTTTCTTGATTTTTCGAAAATCCGAGACGATGAATATGTCGTTTCGTTTTCTTAGTGTTTTTCTTTTTTTTTTGTATGCATAATTTAAGTTCTCGAGTGTGCTTTTAATTCATGCGGGGTCAAAAGTTGGCACGCGAAAGCAAAAGGAAAAAAATGAAGGGTTTTCAGGTGGTACGTCAGGTAAGGCCGCGCACGGCGAATCTCGTGTTGCATGGTGATTTCATCCCCCCACGTAAAACGTTTATTATTATGACGGGGAGTGAAAAAAAGGGGCAAAAGCAATCGGTCAAAAAGGTGGAAATTTCACTCTCGCACCACTTTTTTACGGTGAAAAAAACAAGAAGATTGACCCAAAACAGAGGAAACAAGATCGATAGCAACGTGGACCGTGATGGGAAACCATCACGTTCAACGCCCCCATAGCAATATCAACCCTTTCGCTCGGCTTACTTGTATGTAATGATCAGGTCCGACGTAAGTGGGAAGTGATTGCCGAGGCCAGAGGGCACAGATAATGAGTGGCTCTCGACAGACTTTTAGGATGACGAAAAGGACAGGAATGAATCTAGCGGGAGGAGACTAATTTTGGAGTGTATATACATGAAAACTAAAATTAATTTTGGATTGCGCCTTTTGATGTAACAGTAATGCTTAGCTTTGAAACTCCAGAATTAAGCGTGCTTAGATGGAAGCGCACTACCGAGATGGGTGGCCTTCTGAGAAGGTGCCCACTTGTACGCCAAAGGACAAAACCGTGAGAACTCGGTATGAGACAGACCAAAGCGAACAATACTTTAATGAGTCAATACAATGATGTCACACCATTTATGTTCTTCAATCAGACCTCCTATCAATGTACCGTAGGGCTAAGAACCGTCGAAAACTCTGCCCGAAAAACAGTCACCTCATCGAAGACGGAGGAAAAAAACCGAAGGGCCCTCTTTCCCTAACTTCTCCGAGAGGTAGATAATCGAACGCGCGTCAAGTTCGGACGGACGGGTACTCATGTCCCGTCTCATGTTCTCTCGGACTCTCAAGATCCCGACATCCCGAAAACCCGATCCGTCGATCCAAGACCCGAGCATTCTCGACGAGCGGGTCTTTGCGTGGACCGAATATGCCCATCAGATTATCGCCGCGAACATGAATTTCCCCACCACTTTTGTCCTAAATATCAGTCTTTAGGACCAATGTCCGTAGCTTTCTAAACCCCCCCCCCCCCCCCCCCCCCAACCTTTTTCGAATGGCAACGTACGACGACTAGTGGGGGCGACGTCGTGCAGCATCGGGATCACACACACACACACACGATCGAAGAAAAGCTCGACTTCCGCACCCGAAACGGAAGCCCCGGACTTCCTAACCACCCAAACGACAATACCGGACCCCACGCCCGAGTTCACCTCCACTCACTTCCGCCAGCGGACCCCACCGGGGCGGGCCAAAAGCGGCACCACCACCACCACCACCTTGGACTATGCCGAGGGGGGCGGCTGGCGTCCCCATATAATATCTCGATTACCTCCGAATCCGGACAACTTAGATTTCCGCCCGCCAATCGCGTCCCGACACGTCACCCCCTTCCCGACAGCAACCCCTCATGGCTTTGACCGCACACGCTGCCTCGGGCGGCCGCCGTGGGCCCCCCACCCCCCTCCCGGGACTATTCCTAGCAGATCGACACGATTCGCGTATTCACGAACGTCGCGAATCTTCTCTCGCAGATATTTAACCCTAAAAAGAGAAAATGGGACGTCTTCCGATTCCTACCATCGTCTCCATTAGAGCAATGAAAATGAAACGAAGAAACGACGAGAGAACTTCTAGAAATGGAAGTTTGGAGCCTTGGAAACATCCCAAAAAAAACGCGAAAATTAGTAAACCATTGTTTTTTTTTTTTTTTTTTGCAACTTCACTTCCAATCCACACATACATATAACATTGTCGTTGGGGCTACATGCTCCTTCTCCGAAGTGAGGAGATAGAGAGAACATTTGCCTCTTTTTTTTTTTTGGGGGTGGGGGGGCATTTTTCCTTGCTTCTCTCTATAGAGATGGTGAGCTTGAAGTGAGACCCCACAAAACATCCATATTCACATTTCTCACCCCATTACAAAACCTATTATATATATGTATGAAGCCCTCACTCTAAAACCCTAATAAAAGCTCACTTCATCAACTATATGGCTTGTTATTGCTATTAGCACGACTTCTTCTTCTTCTTTCTTTGCATCGTGGTCCTTGATATATTGTCTTATTTGCATCTTTCACCCCCATCCATCTATCTATCTATTTCTTCTTTATGCTTCTATGTACAGAAGAAAAGTGGGGAAAAAAAGAAAAGAAAAGAAAAGAAAAGAAAAGTCTAGAAAGAGAGAGAGAGAGGAGGGGGGGCCCCATCCACCATACCGGCCTCTCTTTGGTGAGAAGCTCGGGTACGGAATCGCGGGACCTTGTGGCTGCTGGGCGTTGACTTCGTAATCCGCGGTGCGGTGGAGGGCCTGATCGGCGATCAGTACTCGATGATGAGCCCGCCCATCGGGGCTCGGTGGGGGATCCCTTTCCGGCGCTTGGTGATCCGGAAGTTGGTGGCCGTCGGGGGCGGCGTCGACGGCGTGAAGCTGTGGACTTTGTGGTGGTGGTGGTGGCGGCCGCCGCGGTGGGGGCTCTTGTGGTGGTGGCGGCGGCGGCCGCTGTTGCTGCTGCTGTACGAATCCTCCTCCTCCTCCTCGGAGTCGGTGGCCATCGCTCGTTGCTTCTTCGGCTTCATCGGCTTCTTGACGAAGTTCTTCGATGTCCCAGCAATCTGAAATGAAGAAACGAAGAATTAATCGCTTCTGAGCAATACCCGTCGTCGTTCAAAGGAGCGATTTTTGAAAAATTTGACCAGCTGAATGAGAAGTTTCTTTTTTGACGAAATGTTTCATTTGACCCAGAAACCCAAATCTCCTCTTTGAATCGAAAGTCTCTTCCTAGCACAAGTTTTGATCAAAATGCAATTCTTGAATTCAGAGAAGCGGACTGATCGGGTAAAAGGTTTGAACTCTCTCTAGTCTTCATTGGCAAAGCAACAGGACACAAGCAAATACTTTTTTCTGAGATTTCCGACATTAAAAGAAGAATCTTGCATAAAAAAAATTCCAAATAAATGTGCATTTTGGCAACAATCAAATGAAGCAGTAGACAGCTGTTGAATCGTTGTGTTTTCGGCAAAAAAAATTCTTCATTAAATGCCCTTCATTTTCTTGGTTGGGCACACCAAACAAAACAAACTGTTTCGAAAGCAAGAAAAGTTCGAAACTTTTTTTTTCTTCTTGTGCTTTGAATTTCGTTTGATGTTACCTTGCAACCGAGAGAGCAGAAACGGAAGGAATCAAGGAGGCTGCGCTCGCAGACTTCACAGGTGTTGGTGACGCCCTTCCCGGGCCTGGGCTGAGGTCGCTCGTTCAAGAACACGACCCTGGCGCTGTTGATGATGTAGGTCTGGACACCAGTTATGTCCAGCACTTTCTGTATCTCGGACACTCTGATCACGTCGTGGTACGACGACCTCCTTATCTGCACAATCAACCACGAAAGCCATCAGATGATCGTAAAGCCGAAACTTGCAGATTTGTGAAGCTTATTCAAATATGAGCAAGCGAATGAAAAATGACAACTTTATTGGAGCCGAGTGGGGAAAGAAGAAAAAAGGGTAACTTTGGTTTTGCGTGTAAATTAGAAAGATGCGATGAAGCGGTTTTAATGCTAAGATAATCAAAAGATTCAGGGGATCAGCTAAAAATGTCGAATTTGGGTAATCTGTTAAAAAGAGGAGAAAAAGGAGTTAACGAGCATGAAAGGAAAGAGCTGGACCCAAGTCGGGCAACAAAACTTTAGCATTGACAAGCGAGATGAATACCCAGACGAAAATGGTTAAAAAGGGAATCGTATCAAGAAAATCTCACGAAATAATGGCGGAGAGAGATATGGTGGGATTGGGACCTGAATGGCACGATGATCCTTGTGGTGAGACAGGAGGCAGAGAGAGCAGAGAGCTCCGTCCATGCAGTCCAAGCAGTACATGTTGCACTCGCTCTTGTGCGAGTCGGCGTGCGTCTTGCATTGCACGAAGAAGCTCTCGCTCAGCAGAGGCTTCAGCCATGGCGGCCACCTGTTGTCGTCATCATCCGGACCTCCAGCACCCTGTTTCGTCCAACAATCCAATACAAGAAAACCACAGAAAACCCACATCAATCGAAACTCGAAAAGCAACAAAAAAACAAAACATAGGATAAAACCACACCGGAAGGACGATCAGCGAGCCCGGAAAGAATCCGGATCGTCCTTTCAAAAAAAAAAAAGAAAAAAAAGAAGAGCAGAGAAAACAGAGTTCACTTTCAGAGAAAAAACAGAGCAGATAAAGAACACCAAAACACAGACATCAAGAAAAGGCCCGGTTTCTTTCAAGCTCAATGCAGCCTCCGAAAGGAGATTGAAAACGACGAAAACCCGAGACCCATTTGAAGCCCCGGTCGACAAAAAACAGCATTTTCCCCCAAGCAAGCACGAGAACAGAGCACGGGAAAAACAACAAGAGCAAGAAACGATTCGCACGGTACCATGATCCTGCGGTTCTTCGGCTTGATTTCGCGGACTGTGGTGTCTTGATTTTCGATCGCCAGCTTGAAGACTGAGCACTCCGTTTGCTTCACCCAAGTGCAGAGAGGGAGAGCGAATGGAATTAGTGCGAGCGACAAGCTTTCTAGAGAGAGAGAGAGAGAGAGAGAGTTTAGAGAGAAAGTGGAGATGGTGGGGGGGAAGAGAAAATGCGGTTCCTTTGTGGCGAGAAGTGAGAATGAGAATAGGCCGTTCTTATCCGCTCGCGGTCGTCTATCCGAACCAGAACCCGAACCCGAACCCGAACCTCCCCATCCTTCCACGCAAGAAATTAAGACATCATCCTATCTTAGATTAATGTCGCCACACACCACTAAACTTTTCGACCCGAAAAATCTTAACAAATAATTCGGACCGCTCTACCTTATTTTTTCTCTCCCTCGATGTTTAATGCTAATTACGAAAAATTAAAAATGTGATTGGCCGCCGCTCACCATCGCCTTAATAATTGGAATAAACTAAACTAAATTAAAGACATTAAAAGGGGAAATGATATAAATAGTCCTTGAACTTTGGTCCAATATGCATTTTGGTTAGGGACTATCCTGAACAAATTAAAAATTCAAGAACCAAATTATTATACGTTGAACTAAAATTCAGAAACTGTTTGTGTCGTTATCTCGTATCAAAAAATAGGGTTAATCAGAAATTGCGTTGGGTGCAAGGAACCGACCTCCTCCTTTCCTTTTTTTTTTCTTTTTCCATATTATTATTATTTCTTTAAAATAAATTATTTTATTCCCTTCCCCTTTCATTTTCATGCCCGCCTCGGTCTTGTCAAAAAAAAGGGTTAATGTATTTTATTTTTTTATTTATTAATTTCTCCCTCTCCCCACAGTATATTAATATCAGCTTTTTTCGGTCCCGTCCATTATTGGCGATCAATTAATTTCCTAATGGAATATTTTAATTCCTGGAAATGGCAAATTCCGTGTTGTCACTGCTTAGGATAAGTACGACGCCCCGTTTTCTTATAGTACCCATTGTGGGTATTTGTTTTCTCCTCCCTCTGCCCTTTTTTTTTTATTAATTACTCAGATGTGGAAGTGGTTTATGTTGCAAATTATAGGGTTAATGACCCGAATGGTTTCAAACTTTGGCTCAATGTATGATACGGTCTCTGGAGTTTTAACTTGTTTAATCTGGTCTCTGAACTTTTGCCTAATGTTCAATGTGGTCCATGAACTTTCAATTTGTTTAATGTGGTCATTAGACTTTTGGTATATGTTCAATTAAAGATGTTCAGTGCAATCCCTAATCTTGAATTAATGGAAGGACTACATTGAATATTTTCATATAGTTAAAGGGCTAAATTGAACGTGCACTAAAAGTTCAGGGATCACATCGAATAAATTAAAAGTTCAGGAATCACATTACATATTAAATCAAAGTTTAGGAATCACTTGTGTCAATTTTTCCCAAATTATATATTGACGATTATCGCAGAAATTTCGCAGGGGTTTGTCCGTGGCTTTGGCCCTGTGTTTGACTAATGAAATTGTAGATTATTCGGCGGGTCTTGGCCAAATTTTCATTGGTTCTTGTCGTGACGATGTCCAAAATTTTTTTTTATTTTCTTCGGATTGTTTTTTGCTTTAGCTCTTGTATTAGGTCCTATTCGCAATTGCACCTCAGCTTCGTGGTTACGTATGTCAGGAGCAATATTGACATTTTCGACTCAATTCGAGTTGAATTCTTTAATTTGGACGACATCAATCGTGGAAATATACAGTAAATGAAGTAGAATATGATGTAACGTGACATGTGAGAAGATAACATGATACACGTATGTGGGTGAGGAATTGACTAGGGCTGTATGGACTTTGCTTTCTCGAATATGTATGCGTGATGCAATGCGACGTTTGGGAAGATAGCAATTTGATCATGTGATATGGACATGTTGTAGCAAAGTTTTAACCGTGGCGGGTTTCGGACTTTGGATTATGAAACGATTCGTTTGAGGACCCGTTCCGGCACGAGTCAACGGAGATAGTCGAAGGTATCGATGTGTCGAGATGTGCAAGTTGCCGATCCTCGTGGAGATGGAAATCCGAACGATCGAATCAAAAGATTAATCCCTCTCCTACAACAACATGACCACTACCGGCAATTATTTGGTATAAAGAGATGTGCATTGTACGAATTCGCAAATGTCAATTCAGTCATAACCTATTGTACAAATGTCAATTCAGTCATAAACTTTTTAATTTCGCCGATTTAGTCGCAAATCTTTCCGTAAAATTATAATGAAGTCATTTCGGTTAGTTTTCCCTGAAAATTGCTGATGTGGTAGTCTAGTCATTGTCAGCCGTCCTATGTGGCATATCGCCACGAAAGCTATTCCCGGCGAATGTCAACTGAAAAGATTTCATTGAAATTTCGCGCGAAGATTTACGACTAAATTGACGAAATTAAAATGTTTAGGTCTGAATTGGTGTCTGTACAATGAGTTTGGCTAGTCAAACTGTGAGGCTTTATGAACCGGCAAAGGAATATAATTAGTAAAAGCATTTAGAGTGCTAAGATCGACGACATGGTCATCCATCGTTTGATTTAAGGGGGACAAAATGTACTAAAAAATGGCGAAAAAGTCATTAGTTTGATTAAGCAAACGACTATGCAGACATGGCGGCCTCCGGCGGAAATCACGATGTCAAGTACAACAAGTAAAGGTCTAATGTGACGTTTAATTCGCGAGCAATTTCTCAAAGACTCGGCCCAGAAAACTCGATATGTTTGCTTCTTGTCTCTCGTGTATGTTCCGATGAAGTCCACCCAACTAATTTTTGCCGGAAATTACTGATGCTGTAGTGTGCTACAGGATGACCGGCGATGACCGGACCGCCACGTTAGCGATTTCTGACAAAAATCAGCCGTAAAGACTATATTGAAATTTCGTACAAACTTCGAATTAAATTGGCAAAAATCGAAAGGTTAACGACTTAATTGGTATTCGTACAATAGATTTAATACTTACTGGGTAATTTCCGACGATTACTTGTAGACGATGTCGAATTTCAAGAAGTCTCCTAATCTTCAGACAAAGATTAGGTTGTGTTTAGGGCGGTCCTTGTCACCTAATGTTTTGCTTTGGACAAAGCCATTACCAAAGTTTTCGTGATGATAATGAAAGGAGCAATTTATGTAATTGTGGGTCGCAGAAGACTAGTTGTTAGTACGTAGAAGATTAGGTGTATGGGTATGTGCCTTTTAATACATGTTGAGAGCGGCTTAATGACGTCGCACGCATTATTCAATTTTCGATTTTCTCTCGAGAGCTTAATGGCGAAAAAATCGCTCGGATTCGAACTATGATAGATCGAATTTATCGGACCGGTTCAGAACGAGTGTATCATTCTATTTCACGTTTCTCACGATCGAGCATGGCAGCCCAAACAAGGGCCACCATTGCTTCTCGTGCGATCATAAACTCGAGCCTTCGTGAGCGAACCTATGACAAGTTTATATCTTGGGCATTTGTGCCTCGTATGGAGCGACTTGTTGACATTTTGACACGTCGGCCAGCTCGTCGATCTCCAACTTTCGGATCCGAGCGAACTGGTGTAACCACGATTCAAACCGAGCATTCTATACCGGCACAAAGACCCGACCTGACCCGACCCGACCCGACCCGACCCGTGTTTTTTCTTAAAGCCGGGCGCATTTAAGAGGTGGCATTATAACGCGTTGCGATAGCCATACATGTGCATATTTGACAGCACTCCCCCCCATCAATCACAAATCATATTAATAGCATGAAAACTGATTTTTCAAGTTGATTATGACTTGATGGGAAGACCTTAGCATCCATTCTAGTGCTCCAAACTATTCAGTGAACATTGTCCGGACTAGCAAATTTCCCTGTCTCCTTTAATAATTCGAAAAGAAGAAGAAGAAGAAGAAGAAGAAGAAGAAAGGGCCCCTCCCTTTAAATACCTTATTCAGTGGATATTTGAAAATGATTTTCCATCATTTAAAGAAAGAGAGTGCCCATGTGGGAGTTTTCCATCATGAATTGGGGGATCTCTCCAACCAAGCAAATGAAAAAGGTTTAATTTGCTCCCAAGGGTATTGGGAATTCATGGAGGTGTGAGCTTTTAGTGAAATAGAATTTGATATCAAGTAGTTGAAATTTAAAAAAAAAAAGAAGAATTGATATGAAAAATTAAATAAATTATTATGTTTGAGCTAAAGAGGTAATAAGTTCGTGGGAAAACGACACAAATGGTCCATGAACGTGTAATGCCGTCTCTGAATATATAATTTGTTCGATAATGTTCAATTTAGTCTCTAAATTTGAACCAATGTAATGATAACATTGGATATTTTCATATAACCTAATAGGGACTGGATTGAATATTTACTAAAAGTCTGAACATATTAAAAGTTCAGAGACGAAATTGCACGTTAGGCCAAAGTTCAGGGACCACACTGAACAGATTAAAAGTCCAGGGATGAAATTGCACGTCGGGCCAAAGTTCAGGGACCAAATTGTATCATAATCCCTAAGTTCATGTAGGTATGTCGATGGGCTAGAAATTCGAAATTCCACCCTTCATATCTCGTTCGAGATTTTGAACTTTCATGGTTACTCTGAATAACGCAAAAGGTTTATTCAGTTTTATCTCGTGCAGGCTCGGGCCGGACAAAAAATCTACAACGGATGCACAAAGGCGTGCATTGTTGAGTTTGGTTAATCTGTATCCATTCTTTTCCGGGGGGGTAAAAAGAGTTTGCTCATCAATATCTTCTGTCATACATCGTCTCCGTTATTGCATTGGTGTAAATTACCAATTCGAACTCCTCCGCTGGGTCCCTTAAGTGGTGAAAACAATGTGGACGATTCGCCACGAGCGATGTGCGAGGTCTCGAGTTTAATTCCTACTCAATTGAATCTCTATGTTGCGAAATGGAGCGATTCCTTTTCTCATCGGTTTTGTTGTTAGTGTTTAAGTATAATATATATATTTTTTAAAAAGGGGCTTATTTGCAAAGAGGGATAATTAGACACTAATCACTAAAAGTCTAGAGGGGGGTTTGGACCACGATTCCAACCCGGTGAAAAGTCGTGGAGAGAGACAATGTATGGACGTATTCAACCAGGGTTTTAAGTGCTCCCAAGAAAATAGCAAAGACCGACTTCAAAGAATCAATCCCACTTGCTCAATTA